TTTTTTTTCTCACCGAGCAAGACATTAGCAAAACAAGCAATGTTTGAATCTCACCCTCTGGCCAGGACTTATAGAGAAGGAAATGTTCTCTAATATGGCGTTGCCACCATCTACGTATTTGGCTGTGAGGTCTTTGACTGTCATTTGGCCTCCTGAGGGCCAGATGTCATCTTTCTTCACGTGTTGATTCTCAATGATCGTAACTTTCGAGAGCTGGTCATCCCCAGATGGCTTGACGGGTTTGGCAGGCCCACCTTCTTTTGGCATGTCGATAAACTTGAAGACTCGGCTCACTGATCGCATCTAAGATGAAAATAACACTATTTGAATTCGTTTAAGAACTGCAGACAATGCCATTATTAGTGTGATGGTCCCTAAAAATCACGACTTGTGAGTTGCACACTGTGCACCTCATTCAGTTATTTGTCAATGAACTAACAGGAAATAATTGAATATAATTAAAAGCTTAACTGAAGAGAACTAAGACTTATATACATGGGTACAGACCTATTTATTTTTGGGATCACCTAATTCTTAGTTACACAAGCCACACGTAAACAGCCCAACTATTCTTAAGAGAACAGATGATGTCAAAGGCAATTGTTTTCTACACGCAGCTCTATGCAATGTTATGCAACTGGTACATTATAATAAAATGCACCCGCCCTCCAACCCCTGGCCGAAGTCTTGCCTTTCTCTTGAACTACGGCAACAGCTACAACTATGTTACTAGCGACATACAGTCCTATATGCCAGCAGCGTGTAAGTGGATGTTCGCCGCTCAGTCGCTTGTAAGTTGCAGGGACCCCTTGCGCTGTCGCTGTGACCCAGAAAGAAACAGCAGCGGAGAGCGAGAAGAGAGACAGGGGACCAAAGGCTGCACCAGGTGGTGCTCCTCTCTCCCTTGAGTGAAGGAGAGGAGCTGCCCAAGAGCAGTAAAGCGTGTATTTATACCCTAGAGAGGTTACTAAGGGCAGCCACTGCACTCCGCGGTCAGTTCCCAGGCTGCACCGCACCTTCCAGAAATGCCTGCTCAGCGGCCTTAGGCCCGCGCACTCCCAGCGGCTCCCAGCGTTAAGTAACCGCACAAAACCCTGAAACATAAGCCATTAGCAAGTCGGCTGTGGTGGCAGACAACCGGAGGCTGAGGCAGGAGAGTCGGATGTTCAAGCTCAGCTGTGGCAAGTTAGTGACTTAGCAAAACCTGTCTCAAAATAAAAAGAGGAGCTGAAGGCCTTCACTGCAACTCAATTCCACATACTGAAAAATAAAAATTACTAAAAGCTTAGCCGAAGAGAACTAAGACTTATATACATGGGTGCAGACCTATTTATTTTGGGATCACCTAATTCTTAGTTACACAAGCCACTCGTAAACTGCCCGACTATTCTTAAGAGAAGAGATGATGTCAAAGGGCAATTGTTTTCTACTACGGGCAGCTCTGTGCAATGTTATGCAACTGGTAGGTTATAATAAAATGCATAGTTAAATTTTTTTTCTTTACTTTGTTTTCTGCTTTTTTTTTTTTTGAGACAGGGTCTTGCTATGCAGTTGAGGCCAGCCTTGAGCTCACTTTGTCACCCAGCCTGGTCTCGAACTCACAGCAATCTTCCTGCCTCTGCCTCCCCAGTGCTGAGATTACAGGTGTGCGCCACCACATCTGGCTAAATACTTTCATTTTAATGCAAGTTAGTTAAATATCTATTTTCAAATGTGAATTTGAAATTAAACTTTATCTGATTTATAGATTTCTATTCTTATATTAAATAAAATGTATCTTTAATGTACACAGCAAAAGCTCAAATATTTTAGAGTGTTTAGTTAAATTCAATAACAAAACACTTCTCTGAAAAATTATTATTTATTACAACTTAGAATATGATTTTTAAAACAGTCTGGCATATAATAGGAGTTTAACAGATATTGGAACAATTAATAAATGAACAAAAATATCAATGAGAAAATATAAAGAAAATAAATGACAGGAAAGAGGTTAAAGACTTTGAATTCTCTTAATTTCCATTTTTAAGTATTAACATCCTTGATCAACACTTCTATACTTCTCACCCAATAATAGCTTACAGGACAAAATTTTATTTATTTTTTTTTTAGTTTAAATAGGTTTTTTTTTTTTTTTTTTAGTTCAGGGTCTACACGGTCTCACTACATAGATCAGACTCATAGTGATCCTCCTGTTTTCAGCCTCCCAAGTGCTGGGTTTGCAGGCGTGTACCACCACACCCAGTCTCAATCTCTGTCTCAGCTCGCCCCGGGGGCAGGGCCGGAACGGCATGCCCGGGATCAAACCCCAGCCACTGCACTCTGGCCAGCCCTTTAAATAGTAATTACTGATGTTAACATTATTTGGTCAAGAACTTTAACTAGGGCTGGGGAGCCAGCTCAGCAATCGAAGTTCCTGCCTGGCAATCGCAAGGACCAGGATCCATCCCCTACACTGCACGCCGCACTGGCCCTGATCCGGGGGCACTGAGCCAGGCACGGAAGCACTTGCATATAGCTAAGTCTTAGACTTTTAGAGAAAATTCTTTGTGAATAACAAAAGGTAGACAGAGAAGCATTTCAGGCATTTGCTTCTATTATTTCTATTTTTTATTACTGAAAAGTGAAATTGGAAAAATTGTTCATCTTTAGTATGGGATGAAGCAGAGAGGTTAGCATACTGGCCCTTAACTGAATGCTGAAAGCTCATGTTAGCAATCCTAACTGTGATGTCTGCTCTCCCTGGTCAGGCCTGTGCTAGCTATGAACTTCTTTCTTTTTCCAAAGGATCCTATGTTTCTGTTTCCTTCACCTTGGAAATGTCTGCATTAATCAGTCAAGATGTAAAGGTGTCCTGTTAAATTAAACCCACTGTTAAGGGAAATTAAAAAGAATCCAAGATCATAACCCTCACAAGTAACCCTAGAGGAAGCAAAATAGACATAATTACAATTGTTCCTACATGTAATAATTTAAATTTTGAATTATGAATGACTTTAAAAGGTTGTTAAATCCTGATTCAGTTATTCTTGGTTAGTTTTGAATTAAGTCATTCTCTTGCACTTCACTGTCATTAACTCTCATAGAGAAACACTGGAAGATAAATCACAATTCTCATTACCCCTGAGATGGAACACAGAATCAGCTCAAATGTATTTACAACATCTTTTTGTATTTTTTCTTCATAAGAATAGCATCTCTCTCTTAAAATGATTTTGCAGGGCCAGCCAGATAGCTCTGAGGATTAAAGAACCCAGGCTCAGGGACCAGGGTTGGATCCCGGAGCACTGTACTGGCCCTGCCCCAGGGTGCGCTGAGATGGCTACTGAGACTGGGCATGGTAGCACACACCTGTAATCCCAGTGCTTGGGAGGCTGAAAGCAGGAAATGGGAGAATCACTACAAGTCCAATCTGGGCAGTGAGACCCTGCAGACCGTGTACTACATACATTAACAAAAAAAAAAAAAAAAAAAAAAGATTTTGAGAAATGCACAAAGGTTGCTAAACTTCATAAAATAATTAGGTGTGTATATCAATTCTGTGAAGAATTCCAAGTCTTTGCTAAGTATACCAAGGAAGATGCTGTATAATAATTCTTCACCTTTTAATATTATCAGTAAATATTTAAATATTGCAGTCTAAACTACTCAAAATTGTACTTTGAGTTGTTAGAAAATAAGGGTTCTCAAGACCGTTATTTTATCAGATTAGAAGGTAATAAACAATTTTTTAAATTTTCTCTTTTACTTAAGGACTTATGTTTGAGCACTGTAAGAGTCTCTCCACTAGTGAGACTCAGCACTGAGGTGAATACTGAACTTCTAATGCTAAAAGTACAAAATTCAAGTTAAAAAATGAAACTTGTCAACCGTTCATCTTTCTTAGTCTGGTTGTTCAAAGTGACCCCCAGACTTATTATCATAGTTCCCGCCAGCATGGTCAAACATCCCTGACCGAGTACATGCTATGTCTTCTCAGTGGGCGCCGATCCATGACATACGAGCAGACATTCACTCAGACCAATGAGTCAGAACGTTTTCTGACAGGAAGAACAAGTGGCCAGTGCAGACACCTGCACCACGGCTAGCTCTGCAGCCACTGCGATGCCAGTATTGAAGAGACAACGTGACCAGATGACGTTATGAATAACTAACCAATTCAAGTCCACACTTGCAGCTTGGACTTCTACCTCTAGTGCCTCTAGGAGGAGGAGAAAACACTTTAGAACCATTGTAGAGAATATCAATTCTGGTTTTTCATGTTTCAAAAATTGTTTTTCAAAACTTAAGTGAGACACTGACAGTTTAATCGTTTTAAGATGTTGGACACTGGCTTTTAAGCCTCAAAAGCCAATATCCATGCCAGATATACACGCCTTGGATATATATACCTCTAGCCTCAGCTGCTCAGCAGGCCAAGGCAGGACAGTTGCTTGAACCCATTAGTTTACATTAACTCTGAGCAACACAGTAAGACCTTATCTCTGAAAAAAAGCCACACTTAATGCATAGTATTTATAGTTATTCTTAGATATAGTTATTCTCCTCACTGTGCATTCTGACTCAAGAGAGGATACCGAAAATGAGGGTAACTAGAAGGTTTATATACCAGTTCTTCTAGAAACGAGTGCCTTCTTTACTATCCTACAGTTAAAACCTGGTTCTATCCTAAGTAGATGTGGAGGACTTTAAAACACGGAGCTAAGCCCAAGAAAAGGGAAAGAGGAAAGAAGAACGCCATAGAGAAATTTCAGTGCCTGACATGGGATGGGATGGAAGTGGACATGAATCCTTCATAAGCACTGATAATTTCATACATCTTCTGATTTCCATGTGTTTCCAGAGTCATGCCAAAGGGCCGCTAAACTGAATCTAAAGTGGGGAAGTGGAGTACAGAGTGTCAAACTCAGAGCCTTTGCACGGAGCTCCATTTGCAGCCCTATTACATTTTTACTGTGAGACCGTGTACTGCTAAGTTGCTACATTGCTCAAACAGGGCTGAAACTTGTGATCATTTTGCCACAGCCTCCCAGAGTGCTGGGACTACATGTGTGAGCTCTCGTGTCTGGTTCAAGTTTCATTTTTTGGCCTTTTGGGGACATGGACAAAGTGGAGAGAAAGCTCACAAAAGAGATCTCAAGGTTAGGACAAGAAGTAGACACAATCTACCTATACCTCACCAGCTAATCGGAGACAGTGTGCATGAACACCCACTGCGCCCTCTTGTCCACACTTTGGCACTCTGTAAACTCTACTCAGAACCTGCCACAATCTAGAGATTAGCTGAGGTGGTTACTTCTACT